GCAGCCTATTATAGGGATGAGAAAACAAAGGCTTGGGGACATTAGACATCCACCAAGCATCCAGGCAATCAGATTCCAGAGCCAGTTCCCATATCCTCTTACCAGTTGGGCCATCTCAGTGGACCTGCTCCATGAGGGGCCATGCCCCCAAACCTCTGAAATTTGAGTAGGGACAAAGCTCAGAAGTGCAAGGCCTCCTGGGAGAAAGACGGCAATAATTCCGCCACCTGCAGCACAATTCAGATATCCTAGGTCTACTTCTCATTAGGTTAGGATGACCTAACCCAGGAAGAGGAATGATCTGGGGAAGAGGGTATTCGGGCCAAAGAGAAGATACAGAGGGCCATTGGGACATTGGCTCTTCTTAAAGAACAGGGGTTAGAAGCTGGGGAGCCTCTTGATTAAATCCTCTCCAACTCTACTATGTTCCATCCCTAAAGATACCCAATACCTGACCAGTAATCTAACATAACTGCACTAACAAGGAGCTCCCAGCCACTCCAACCAGGGCAAGGTCTCAGCAAGCTTCTTCCTCCCTCAGCCAATATCTGCCTCCTTGGGGACATCAAGGGGAGCCTACTCTCTCCCGGGGAAACCAACAGTCCCGACTTCGTCAGTGCTACCAACACCCTACTTCCCTCGCAGACAGAGCTCCAGCTCCTATGGCTTCATAATGCCTCCCTTCCCCCTCCCTCCTCCTGCCCCTACAAAGCTCTCCAGACATGGGGTCACATGCTCTTGACTTTGCAATGCCTTCTGCTTGTGTTTCCTGATCTCCTCAGTCCCCAGACAAGGCACAGTGGAAAGGTTTCCAATTTCATTCTGGAGGACCAAAGAGGAGGTGATTGGCCCAGAGGTCCCCAGGGAAGGGGTGACTTGCAGGATCTGGCTCCTCTGGCTCCCAGCCAGGACTATACAGTCCCCTCCCCAAATGCCTGGTGGAAACATTCTGTGGACATCTCTTCCCCTGTGCCCCACAGGGAAGCAGAAAGGATAGAGTAGGACAGGGGAAACTTGACTGTTGCTGTGAGGTTAGCAGCCTGGGAACAGCAAGGCCTGTGGCTTCTGGAGAAAGAGAATACATTCTCAGTAATCCAGAGGTTGCTTTGGCTTGGAGCTGCTTCAGAAGAGTATGTGTCCTGGCTTCTGAGCTAGGTGAAATAAAAGAAAGTCGGGGGTACGTGTGTGTGCACACACACACACACAGGTGCGTGCACAGTATGTGTTCTGCACGTGTGTGGGTATGTGCATGTACCAAGGGGGGCATTTTGAAGAGCATCCCAGATAGGGTCATGCTTATTCTCAAGGAAGGGAGCAGTAACGGTGGGATATCAAACAGCAGATGTTTTCAGCCTGAAGACTCAGGATGCCTGGTGTCAGTGAGCAGAGGTGAGGACAGATTACTGTTTCAAAGGCCCAGGCCTGGGCATTCAAGTTTCTTGAGTAAGAGATAATCAGGCTGGTGTATCTCACAGGCTCCTAGGTAGCCAGTAAATGTTCCCCAAGACTAGCTGGAACCCATCTCCAATAAGGCTGGGGAAGAACAGTCTTCCTCCATCAGAGGAGAAAGCCCTCTACCTCTCCCACATAAAGCAGTACCAAGGGCCTGAGAGAGGAAGGCAAATAGGTTCCGAAGCTCCAACTTCAGGTCCCAGGGACAAATTGTCCCTCCTTCCAGCCACAGGATCTTCTGCCCTAAAGGGAGTTCAGGGAGTGAGGTAGGGGCTGTGGGTCTCTGGGACCCTGCCCAGGGCCTGGCTGCCACACAGCAGGTGGAGGAAACGGGTTTCATTCATTCATTCATTCATTCATTCACTCATTCAACACTGAGCATCCACCAGGTGTCAGGTACTGTTCTAGCCCTGGGCCCTCATGCTGCTTGCAATCCAGTGGGGGAGGTGGTGGGTTAGAGAAACAAGAAGCATAAAACACAGCTGGCTGAGTGGCGATTAGTGCTCTGGAGAAAAATAAAGCAGGGAAGGGAAAGAGAGAATGAGGTTGAGTTGGGGGAAAGGGTGCTATTTTAATTAGGCAGTCAGCAGAGGACTCATTGAAAAAGGTAATATTTGAATAAGCCCCTAAGGAGGTAAGCAAGTGGGCCTTGCACCTATCAAGGGGAAATGCCTCCCTGGTAGCACTTGTAAAGGCCCTGAGGTGGGAGTGTGCCTGGCAGGGCTGAGGAACAGCAAGGAAACAAGTTTGGTTGGGGTGAGCAAGAAGGCAAGGGGTGAGAAATAAGGTCAGAGAGCCACAGGGACCGGATCGTGTAGGGTTTCATGGGCCGCCATGAGGGATGGACCCATGTCTAGGGGGACCTGAATGTATGCAATTTAAGGAACCATCCTTTTAAAAAATCAAAATTACAAATAAAACTTGGACTCAGGGTGCCTGGGGCAAGTGAGGGGCCTGGACAGTACATCCACCTCTGGTCAGAGGGAGAATTTTGGCCTTTGCCCAGAGTGAGAGGGAGCTATAGGAGGGTTTTGAGCAGAGGAGGGACCTGACCCAATTAAGTCTGTCTGGCTGCAGAGCAAAGATGAACTGGGCCCAGAGCATGGACAGGAGCGAAATTAGAATAGTGATGTGCAGCGTGGAGCCGGTAATTGTGGCTGATGGGTGGTCGGTCAGGGGCAGATTCCTAATGCAGAACCAAGCAGATATGCTCATGGGTAGGATGATGTAGGAGAGAAGGCAGATTTTAGGCCTAATACAGTTATCCCAAACTGAAGAGGGAAAGGAGTGACCTTAGTGACTGGACCTCATAACTCTCCCACTTCATAAAGTGGGATAAAGAACACAATACTCAGAGAGGTGGAGTAGTTTGCCCAAGGTCACACAGCCAGGAAATGGCAGAGACTGCATTAAAACCAGGTTTACCAACTCAAGCAGATATCTAACACACTAGGGAAGCAAGTCTGAGGGGGGGACCACAGTAGCATGTCCGGTAGGAGAGGCAATTCCTGCATGCAAAGCACGTTCCAGTGACCACAGGGTCCCCTGAGACGTCACACCTACCCCCCAGAAAACCTATAAAGTTCTCGGCCCCCTGTCCTGCACTCCTCCCTGATTCTTTCCTAAACCTATTTCTGCCCCCACTGACTGGGAGAGCTCAGCTGCCGTCTTGGGGAAATGTTTTTGGCATCTCTCAAGTTTTCTTAATTTACTGACAAGGTAATGACTGCCTCGATCCATTATACACATTTTCTAAAGGAGTTTCTGCATTAGGATGCAAAGCAGGCTTCTCTGGCTTGGAGAGAACCTGAGGTTCCCGGGATTCCATCTTCCAACACACTTAGCCTCTAAATACAATTCACTGCCTTTAAACTGATAGGCACTAATGGTCCCAGATGCATCCACTCAACAGGTTTGAGTGAAACAAGCCCTCCCCCCACACCCCCTGCTGCCGCCATGGTAATCCACATGGCTTGGACCATTATTTGTATTATCATCACTGTAGGGACTGGAAAGCCTCAGCCCATCATTTGGAATGTTCAGCTCAAACTAGTTTACCTAGAACAGCTCCCGCCGCTTTGTGCTTGCGCTCCTCCCCTATAGTGCAGGTAGGGGAAGCGATACATCAGGGAAGCCCTGACTTGGGCATCTTCTACCCACTTGAGGCTTTGTTCTTTTCAAACCACACCCCTTCAGCGCCAGGAAGGCAACCCAGCAGGCCACACTGAAGAGCCCTTGTCCCCTCCAGTCCTCCCCCGACCCTCTGCTCCTGGCAAAACCCGCCAGCAGGAGCAGATATCTGATCTGTCCTAGAAGCTGTGATGTTACATTGCCCAGATGTTCAGCTCGTCAGAGCGAAGGCTCAGGTTACAGCCAATCGGGGCTACTCTAGCCCACAGACCCCATTCCCACCCCACCCTCCCACTCCCAAGAGACAGTTAGGATCCAGGACCCACACGGCCAATGGAGACGGAACAGGACCTGTGTGGGGTCAGGGGACTCACAGAAATGACCCTTCAGAGTCTTCACACCAGGGGGGCCTAGAAGGCATGTACTCTCGAAGCCCCCTAGGGTTGTTCATACGGGGCGATGCCTCCCCCAGTCCTCAAGCACCTGGAGCTCCCTGTCCTGCCATGGCCCACTTCTTTCCTGGTCAGAGGAGTCTGGACAGAGCCTGCAAACATGCCACAGGAAAAACGGGACACAGAGTGGTCACTGGGAGCTTCTAAGCCACCAGAACATACCTGATTTCTCCTACATACATTGGGGCTCACTTTACTGCTAAAGGGGAGTAGGGAGGTTACAAATTTGGCATTAAAAAAATTTTTTTTTCTGCTACCAGAATAAGGTGAGGCATGGAAACATAATATTGAGAAGGGGGAGGTACTGGGAGCCCATATCATGTCCACGGAAATACAACAAAGCCCTCCTATCAGGGGGGTTGGTGAAAACTATGCACTTGACCTTGCTAGACGTGTGCTAAGATCTGGTCACTGTAGGTAATTCAATCCCAAGATCCAAATCAGGCTGTAGCCAATTTTGGACTTGAACCCTGCCTAACCAGGGGACTTGAGAGGCTCCCCTCTTAAGGATCATGCACAGGATCATGCGAGCTGCTGCATGTGTGACAGTGGTAGCCACTGAAGCCAGACCAGAAAATGTCACAAAGAATGGTGAGCAGCTGCCGAACACCCTCTTTCCTGTAGAGGTGGCCAGAGGCAGAGATCTACTGGGCTCCCATTCCTTGGGCAGAACTGGAGGGGCCCTGGGGATCACCAAGCCCAACCCTCTCACTTCACAGGTGGGGGACTGAGACCTGGAGAGAGGACAGTCACCTCGGTACTGATTTCTCCTCTCTTTGGTAAGCCACCTCCCAAGAGATGGTCAGGGCTAACAGGGGGTCCCTCCAAGGTCGCCCAACACCCACACTTGGCTGATGAGGACCACAGAGATTCCGAAATTCCCCAAGCCATGGGGAACAGGAGGGGCAGCCTTTCAGATGGCTCTCAATCCTTGGAAACACCAAGAAACCTCATCCTCCATGGGCAGTGGTTTCCAAACTTTTGTATTTTTAGCAACAGAAGCCATCCTCCAAATAATGCAAAACCTCAAGCTGCCGACAGATGGGGGGGGTGCTCTCCCACCTGCCACCTGGATCTGGCCCCAGGACTCCCCCTCCAGCACCCAAGGCCCCTCCTGCAGGGCCCTCTGTGGAGCTCAGTCTGCAACCCCAGGCTCTCAGGGGGCCTTGCAGCCCTGAAGCCAAAGCAGCCAGATAGGGTGGGCTCTTACTTAAGAGCCCTGGAGGGTGTGGCTGGTTTCTGAGACCTGGACAACCTCATTCTCCACCAGCACCTGGCCTCCTTCCCCATTGAGCTGTCTCATGCGCAGGTTAATGGAGCCATAGGTCTTCCGGGAGCCCCTGCCAGGGACGAAGGTGGGCCGGCGGTAGAGCTCCCCCTTGCACAGGGAGACCATCAGCAGCACTGACAAAAGCATGCCGCCCACAGTGAGCAGCCCCAGGCCCGCGATGATGCACTTGTCTAGGTGGGAGCCCAAGCGGGCATAGTACATCTCTAGTCGTTCCATCTCCCGCGCCGTCACTGTGTCAGGGTTGACGCGGGCCTCACGGGGGATGGCGTACGCTGTCACCACTAGGAGGATCCCACTCACCAGAAAAACCAGAGCAGAAACAAAGCCGTAATCCACTGGGCGGCTCACGGGCTCCAGGCCCGGCCCCTCTTCAGAACGCAGGGATAGATCGTCCCGCTGGGATCGCTGGGATCGGGGCCGTGAGGGGCCCCCTGCTGAGGGACTGGGGGATCTACCCAGTCTGGTGTCCCCTGGGTTCTGGAAATGGGTCTCGTGCTCCTCTGAGGAAAAGCAGACGTTCTCCACACCCTCCCTGGGCGCAGCCGCCGGGCCCAGAGGAGCTGGTCTCCTTGGGATCTGGGGGCCATTACGTAGTGTCTTCAGTTCCAGACCGGGGGGAGATGCCATTGGGAAGGTGGGCCCCCACTCATCCCTTGGCCCTTGGCAGCTAGAAGAGAAGAGAGAAAGGCAAATTTAACAAAACTCTACCAGGAGCCTGCTGGCGCCGGGCCTCAGGCTTGGTTGGGAGCGATGTTAGGATGGCCGGGCACAGTTCCCACCTGCAAGAGCCTGCCAGACAGACGTGGAGATGGGGACTCAGACAATGACAGAGTCATCCAATCCAGGCCAGGACCCTGCTTCATCACTGGCTGGCACATGGCTTTGGACAATCTACTTACCCTCTCTGGCCTCAGTTTCCCAGACTATTAAGTGATTGTAACACTACTCCTTCCTACTTAATGGGATCGGCGTAGCAACTGACATCATCCATTCAAAGGACTCAGAACAGTAGGTGCTCAGTAAGCTATCATTCACACAGTGAGTCTCAGGTTCAAATCCCAGCTTCACCACTCCAACTTGGACAAGTGATGTGACCCCTCCAGACTCAATGTTCTCATCTGTTAAATGGGAATAAGTGAAATGCCTCCCTGTGGCTTGATGTGGGGAGTTCATAAAATAATGTAAGGCCCCAGCCAGTTCAATTAATGAAACAAGTGTGACTATGGGTGAGGAGAGGGGCAGAGATGAGGACGATGGTGTGGGGACAAAGAGAAGAAAGGGAAGTTTCTAGAAGTTGATGGCATTTGAACTGGATCTCAGAGGATGAGTGGAAATCCCCCAGCTTGGGGGTATGGTGAAGGCATTCTAGAGAGCGGTGCCTCAGAGGGCAGCTGGCACCAGCCCTCAAAGGACTCTGGAGGCCAGACCAAGGAGCCAGGGAGCTGAGGTGTGGGCAGAGAGTGCTGACATCTGCCTAGGTTTCAGGAAGCTCTCTCAGGCTCCTTCCTACGTGGAAGACAGGACAGGAGAAGGGTGGAGATCAGGAGTCCTGGAAGGAATCTGCTGTGGTCGGGGGCGGCAGGGATGGTGGCTGAGAGGGTGAAGAGGAAGGAGCCCATTTGAGAGCCATAACTGAGGTCAAAGCCTAATGCCTTTATGGATGTAGAAGATGGCAGGGGCCTGGATGGGTATCACGGAAGGGAGCTGAGGGGGAGGGTAGGAAGGGGCAGTGTCCGCTCAAAGAGGAGACACCCCACCCAAGGATCCGAACACACACCCACACACACAGACTGCACATGTCCATTCCTGTCAGAGAATGCCAGCTTCAGCCAACGGACCATATTTGGCTGGCAGAAGTTTTGCTTTTTTGTTGTTTCTGGTCTGTTGTTTTTGAAGTAGTTGCCAATATATAAAAAGCAAAAGATTTTACATTTTAAACTTTGGATTCCTGGCTTCTCTCGTAAAATGGAAGACTGTGGCCCACGCAGGCTCTCATTCCCTCACAGCCGCCCTCCACTGGAGTGGACGGCGTCCTCCCTCAGGGACAGCCAGTGCTGCCCCAGCTCCCAGCTCTCACCTCAGGCCCCTTCCCCACCTTAGCCTTCCCTGCACACACAGACATCCTGGGGGCATACACGCCCAGGGCTCCAGGCACACAGACCCAAGTCCCGGTGCCCTACATACAGAGACCCCCAAGTACAGAGGGGCTCACATGCCGTGGTTAGTCTACACACACATACAAGTCAAGACGTTTCTCTGCATTCCCAAACCTGACTGTGCTCTCCTGTGCCCTGTGGTTCTATGTGTGTGCGTGCATGCGTGTGTGCATGCGTGTGTGTGTGAGTGAGAGAATATGAGCAAGTGAAGTGCAAATGAATGGAACGAATGAATGAATGAAACTCATGGAACCTCAGTGCAAGAAGGCACGTTTTTCAATCCTTCTGATCTTGCTTCCAACGTGGACTTTGCAGCAGACACCTCCTCTTAGCACAACCGGGCCTTTCATGTGAGTACAAAGCCTGTTTCCACTTACAACCCATTCCTAGCACCACGGCCTTCTTGCCTGAGTTCCAATTTAATAAACGTTTACCAAGCACCCGCCTGACAGTAGGCACTTCAGCTCAGGAGTCTCTCCTGTAACCTTTTACCAGCCCCACAAGCAGGAATTACTACCTCCACTTTACAAACCGGGGCAAGCTCCCCTGGCATGCCCCCGGGGGTCAGAAGTTCAACATGGTTTTCCTAAGAACTGTTACTTCTTACAAACCTGCAGACCTGCATTCTCTGCACCCATGGCATCATTCCACCCTCCCTCACTGGCTCTTCCAGCCCCCACCTGTAGACTCTACTTGGTCCCACCGTTTAAGGCCACAGTGAGCAGCTTGAGGGCAGGGATGTGTTGGAATCCTGTCCAGGTCCCAGCCCCCTGGCTTGGAACACAGCCAGCCCTCAGGAATGGCTTGGCAACTGGCCGCAGGGAAGACAATCCCTCCCCCACCCCAGGGAAGCAGGGTATCTACTCAGAGCCAGGCTCTGCCCAGGCTGTCCCCACTTTCCAGTAAAAGGAGAGGAGAGGTGTGGTGTGGTGTGGTGTGCCGGCTGGCTTTTTTCTTTTTTTCAGTCTTGGCAGCAAAATCATTTTCCTGAGTGCCACCACAAACAGGGAGGGGCGGTGACCATTCCACTAGGTGTCCAGATATGCCCCCCCTCCACCCAGATCTTCAGCACCCATCCTGATACCTCCGTATCCCAAGGAAACTAAGGGCACCCACATTCTGGGAGCAGGGCTTTCAGCTAGCAGGAACCTGAAACTTTTTCTCAGGATGCCAGAGTTAGGAAAAGGGCAGAGGAAAAAAGAGGCTCCCTGTCACCCGGAGTTGTGATGTCTCCCACACAGATTCAGAGATCCCCACCAGTCCCCACCAGTCATACATGGGAATGCCCAGTCAATTACCACCCCCCCCACACACAAGCAGAAACTGACAAAGATGCTGGTGTCCACTGCTCACCGCACACCCCTCCTCCCTCCAATGGTACCAGTAACACTCCAATCACTCCAATTTCATCTGCAGCCCAACAGAACCGAAAGACACACACCCCGGATATACATTCACACCCCCAAGGACCTTTTCTACAGGCAGCACCCAGAGACATGGGAAACCACGCAGTGCGACCCACAGATCCGCAGACCACACTGGGACTCACACCCGGGGAAGGGGTAGAGCTTGTTACGCACACACAGTTAACTACCTCCTCAAGACGGTACCCACCGAGCCCCTCCGGGAGCCCAGCACCCCACCCCCTCCCCGCACACGCACTAACACGCGGGGAGACAGACGCACAGCGGCCGTGGGTGAAGCTTCACAAAACCCAATCGATACACACACGCACGAGTTGTACACAAAGCCTCGGGGCGCGCACATACGCACACGCAGGTCCACGCTGTTATACCCAAAGTTCCACGCTGAAAACCCCCGCACCCCGGCTGCCAGACGCACGGCGCGCCAGTCTGCCGGCAGCTCACACCCCCTGCTCCTGCCCTTGACCACAAACGCAGCGGGGTTGGGCCAGGCCGGACCGGGCCGGGCGGCGCCAGTAGCAGAGCGGCCAGGCGGCCCGGGGAGGCCCGGCTCCTCGGGGACCCGCGTGCGCCCGGGTCCCCTCGCCGCGTGTCCTTCGGCCGGGCCGCGAGGTCAGGCTAGCTCTTCCCAGCCGGCCCTCCACGCCTGGGGCCCTCGGCCTCCTGCCGGCCCCAGCCGTTCCCGGTCCGCGTGCGTACCTGCGCCGGGCCTCCCTCCCCGTCTCCGCGCGCGGGAGACGCGGGCACCAGCGGCCCCGTGGGCCGGGGCAGGGGCGAGTCCTCCCCGGGCGCCCGCCCGCCTCCCCGCACCGGCGCCCGTCCGCCGGTGTCTCCGCTGCGTCGCAGCCCCGGCGCGCGCGGGCCCGGCCGCCACTGCCTCACCCTCCCCGGCTCCCGCCCCCTCCCCGGCCCGGCCCGACACGGCCCGGAGCCGCTACCAAGGCGCACGTACCTGCTCTCGCCGCGCGGGGCTCTACGGCGGCGGCCGCTGGGGGTTCCGGGGAAGGAGGGGCAGGGGCGGGGGCCCGGGAGCTCCGAGCGCCGCCGATCGAGCTCCGCCCGCGGCCGGCGAGGGCTCCGGGAGAGTTAGCGCGGGGAGGGACCGGGAGGCGGGTAGCAGGCTGGATGTCGGGCCCGCGGGGGATCGGGCTCCAGCCCCTCCCTGTCCCCCGAGGGCTTATCTGTTTCGCCTGCGCCCAGGCTCTGGGAATTGAAGCTTTGAGCCCGCGGGGCCGGGTGCAGGGGCGGGGCGCGGGGGTGGGTGCTGAGGGAGACCCCTCCCCCGCCGCCTGCCTCCCCCCCCGCCGCAACCCGGTTAAGCCGCCCCAGCGGTGCAAAGTCGCGACGCTCCCTCCTCCCGGACACTCTCCTACGCGCACAGCCCCCAGGTGAGACCTGGGTCCTCTCCCAGGTCCTGAGGTCGGGACAGTCTTCCCAGGCGCGTGCGGCTCCGTGGCTCAACGGCGCCACCTGAAGGCTGAAAGGAAGCTTCTGACGAACCCCCCTCCCTTTCCTTGCTCTTCTTTGTGGGACAGTGAGGTGCACAGTCCAAGGTGGGCGTTCTCTTGGGGAACTGCCCATGGCTACACACACCGTCGCCCTCCAAGGCCTAGCTGCAGTGCCTCCTCCCCTGGGAAGCCGCCTTCAGGCCCCTTCCGCTGCGCCGGTCCTTTGCCTGCACTATCGCTCTGATCTCTGAAAGTTATTTTCTCTGCGGGTCAGCCTCCCTCATCGGACTGGCCACTCCTGGAGCACAGGGCCCCTGTCTGATCCCCTAGAACCCGTATGCGTGGATGAAAGGTGGGTAGGCGCTAGCTATTTCTTTCCTCTACAGGGCCTAGATTAAGGTGGCATGAAGAGAGGGGCCCAGAGCACGAAAGTGAAGGTGACACTCCGCCTCTGAAGGCCCAGGACAAGCCCCGAGGGAAGTTCAGTCCGGAGAACATGGAGTTTCCACTAAGACTTGGAGGCCAGCTCACCTGCATGTCCTCAGAGAGGTCATCTCACCTCTGTGAGCCTCAGCGCTCACCTCTATCAGTGGGATCATGAAAATGCGGGCTCTGGGGGCTTTCAGAAGATCAGCCGCGTTCGGCCACTTGGAAGGAAAGGCAGAAGAGGATGTCCTGTCCTGACTCCTCAGCCACCTCATGGGAGAGCCTGACACGTCCTGCTCCAAAGGCCTGTGCAGTCCCTGCCAAGCAGGATGCCAGAGGCCTCCCTGGAGACTGGGGGCCTGAGCCTTTGAGGCCGGGGTGGTGGAGACCTGCGAGGGACCTCGGGAATGGGGAGGCTTCAGTCTCTCCCTGCCTTCGGAGGCCTGGCCTCCTGTTCCAGACTCTGCGGGGAAGCTAGGTGTGGGGCCAGACTCCCGCACGCCTCCCAGCACTGCCACAACCCTGGGTGGTCTCATCTGTGAAATGGACGGAGTAAGGGCTCTGCTGATTGGTTGAGACCTCAGCGTAAAGCGCCCCCAGGCCCCTCCCACAGTCATGCGCAGTCCTGCCTCAGAGCTTTTGCCTTTGCTGTTGCCTGTTCCCTGAACGTTCTACCTCCTGATAGCTCCAGAGCTCGCTCCCCCACTCCCTTCAAGTCCTTGGTCAGATGCCCCCGTCTCAGAGACACCCTCTCAGACCATCCTTTTAAAACCAGCACTGCCCCAGCATCCCTTACTCCTTAAGTCTGAATTTTTCTCCGTAGCATTGATCAACGCCTGCCAAGAGCTTATTTGTTTGTTTTTTTGTCACCCCCACTAAAAAGTAAGTACCAGGAGGCAGAAGCTTTGCCTGTTTCCCTCTCTCGTGTATCCCGGAGACTCGAAAAGAGGCCAACCCATAGAAAGCCCCTGATAAATACATATTAAATGAGGAATGAAGCAAGTGAGCCCATATTTCCTTAAAGTGCCTGTTATATACTGGTTAACTAGGGAAACTTCAGCCGTACCTTCAAGAAGCTAGTATTCTACTGGGAGGAAAGGGCGAGAAAATGTAACACCTCTTCCGTCATAAATGCCATAAAGCAAAAGCAGGCAGTGCTGTGCCGAGCCTGGGGCAGGGTGCCGACCTAGTCCCGGAGATGGGGATGGATCCCCTGCAGAAGCAAGGATTGGGCTGAGGTCCAAAGGATGAAGAGGGGCAGCCAGATAAAGAGGGCAGGAAAAAGAGGCCTGCCTAGCAGAGGGACTGGCATGTGCAAAGGTCCTGGGAGAGAAGTGGAACGGTGTGAGGCTTGGCAGAGGTGGTTGCGGAGGAGGAACATGGGAGGAGATAAGGATGGACTGTTGTCGGCAAGCCAGGTGGTTGCAGACCTCCTAGGCCACGGAGTTTGTTCTTACCCACAGAGCAGTGGGAACCACTGATGCTGGTAAGTAAAGGGTTAACAAAACCTCTTCTGCTTTTGCAGGAGAATTTGACCTTTGGTTAACTATCTAGCTCTGTTTCCTTGGAAACAGATAAACATGTGTCCACTATGTTACTAGGCAACATTGCTATGATAAAAATGACCCCTGAGGAAGAAGCTGGAATGAGACATGTGGTAATTGATTCAAACTGGAGACTCAGGGGCGCTTGGGTGGTTCAGATGGTTAAGTGGGTAAGCGTCTGACTTCAGCTCAGGTCTAGATCTCAGGGTCCAGTGATCTAGCCCTCCACTGGGCTCCCTGCTCAGCAAGGAGTCTGCTTGTCTCTCTCCCTCCCCTTCGGCTCCTCCCCCTGCTTGCGCTCTCTCTTTCTCTCTCAGAAATAAATAAATGAAATCTTAAAAAAAAAAAACCCAAAAAACCAACAACAACTGGAGCTATCAGTATGAACTCATCTTTAGCTTAATTTAGCTGCAGAAGATTACATACAGAAATATTCATGGCTTATGTGTGTGCACACAGGTTAGTTAGTATACACATGTACATTTCCTTCCTCTGTCAGCTCAGAGAGCCTAGACAATGATACTGCATCGCAGAGAGCACACGTGGTGCCCAAACTTGGTTTCTAATACCATCCACCAACACAAGGAACCAGGGAGAAACGGGCTGATTGTGGGACTGGAGCAGGACATATAGGAGATGAGCGTGGAACAAGTTAGAGTGCGGGAAGTGAGGCGGTCCTTCAGTACACACACAACACACACACATACTCACACATTGATGGGGGTGTTTTAGAGGGCATTGGGAGGGCATTGGGAGCATTCCAAAGCTAGACAATTTTGATCAAATAAATAATACTGGATTGTAGCCTAAAGTATGACAAATGAAAAAGAAGGGGGAGAAAAGATAAATCTTCCACACAGAATTCCAAATATGTAGATACTCCATTCCCAAGGAGGGGAAACATAACTTCCCAGTTCTTAAGGGTGGGCTGAGCATAGTGCCCTTCAGGGAGGACACTGTGAGGAGGGGGTAACTTTATAGGAGAGATACGTGACAAACCTGCCTACCTCAGCCACGTGATCAAGGTCAACATCAACAGTCAGTTTATGTTGATAGCATGTACCCTTGATATGCTATCCTGAGAATGGCACTTTACCTCTGAGGTCTTCCTCCCAAAACACACAACCCCCAGCCTAATTATGAGATAAACATCAGACAAATCCCAATTGAGGGACATTATGCAAAATGCCTGACCAGTTCTCAGGATGGTCAAGGTCATCAAAAACAGGGCAAGTCTGAAAAACTGTCACAGCCAAGAGGAGCCTGAAGGGACGTGACAACTAAATGTAGCGTGGTATCCCCAGTGGGATCCTGGACAGAAAAAGGACATTAGGTAAATACTAAGGAACTCTGAGTAAGTGTGGACTTTAGCTAATAATAATGTATCCAATTTGGTTCATTAATTGTAACAAATGTCCTGTACCAACCTAAGATGTTAATAATAGGGGAAACTGGGTCTAGGGGAACCCTGTACTATCTTCCCAATTTTTTCTATAAATCTAAAATTGTTCTATATAATTTTTTAAAAAACAAGGACCAAGAGATTGGTAACTACATCTGGACTAGAAGGAACAGTAAATACCTGGTGGAAAATCCTACTTTGGTCTTCCTGAACATGGTGACTCATGTAGCAAGGCAGGTCCACCTGCACCCACTGATGGGATCTCATTTCCTTGTACCCATGCTTTACTCTGCTGGCAGGCAGGAAGGACCCCAATGAGAGAAGCTCCTGTTGCTAGCACTCATTGAGTCCTCTGCTAGCAAGCTAAGGTTCCTGTCCTATAGCCTTCAGAGTAGGTCAACGCCAAGTGTGGCTTATGGTCATCTGTTGAGTGTATATGGTTGAACCCGAGGAGACCCCCTCATGCACACTGCAGTAGGTGATAAGCAGGGGGATGATATGATCAGATTTCCATTTTGCAAACATTCTCTCTTTGGCTGCTCCCAGGTGCAAAGGGGAAAAGAGCAAAAACAGAGACCATTGTGGAGGTTATTGTGGTTATGTTGGCGTGCCACAAGTCTTCAATCAGTTTCCTGCTTGTGTATCTATCTGGTGATGTCTGAGTCTGTGTGTGTGTGTGTGTGAGAGAGAGAGAGAGAGAGAGAGAGAGCACACTCTTCTAGAATATTAGAGCATCACTTAATCTAGAATTTTTCAAAGAGTAATGATGCATAATGTGATTTTAGGTGTTACATAGATACCGAGAAGCCTGGGTCACTGGTCCTGGTAACAGTCTCCCACCCTCTAGAGTATGTCTATATCTGTACCTATACACGCACCCCTATATGTATATATCTATTCATTTTAATGGCTAGGTATGTATTTTAATGTGTTTTAGAAAAATATATAACTAGCCCGTGAAACCAGAGATATTATGGATACTATTGCTAAGATTGAGAGAGAAAAAAATACGAGTGTCTATAAAATTGGGGCAACATAATCTGCTGGTTTCCTCTAATATTTACTCTCCCTTTCTCCCACTGGGGTGGAACCCTTGATCAGTACCTGGCACAGTGCCCTTTAAATAAGGATTCCATTTCCCAGCCTCCCTTGCAGTTAGGTGTGGCTAAGTGTAACCGCAAGCCATTAGACTGTTAGAGGAGGTGGTGTGTGGGCAAAATGTATTGAGTGTTCTTAAAGGAAGGGGACATGATTTCCTTCTCTTCTTTTGCTGTTCCAGCTGCCAGGATGCAGATCTGATGTCTGGAACTTGTGCAGTCATCTTGGCCCATGAGGTAGAAGCATGTATGGATGGAAGAGCAACAAAATTGAAGGAATCTGGATCCCAGATGACCAATGGGACTACCAGCTTAGGATAATTTTCCCATACTTTTATTTGTGAGAGAAATAAACTCCTATGTTCTATAAACTACTATTACTTGGGATTTTCTGTTACTCAGGGTCTGTTCCTATCTAACATGGTCAGTTTAAAGACAAATGTAAGTAAATCAAAGTAGAGGTGGGTAGGCAAAAACGGAGAAAGTGGTACAAGAGTGGCTGAAGTTTGAAAAATACAGATCCAGTCAGCCCCCCTGTGTTCCAAGTGAGAAAAGTCAGGAAACAGTGTGTCCAGGAGGGTGATATGAAAGAATAACCCAGGTAAGATTGAGGTCTTGCTGCATGAAGGAGAAGGAAGAAAAGACGAGTGTTCCTGGGAGAGGTAATAACACTTAAACAGAGATGAAGTGATAGTAGCGAATTACTTGTGTGTTTGACAAACCTTTATATAAACCTCCCCATATGCCAGACACTATTCTTTTTTAAAAAGATTTTATTTATGTATATTTATCTATTTATTTATGAGAGAGCAAGAGCAAGTGAGTGCACATGCAGGGGGAGCAGCAGGCAGAGGGAGCAGGCTCCCCGCCAAGCAGGGAGCCCAATGCAGGACCCGATCCCAAGACCCTGGGATCATAACCTGAGCCGAAGGAAGATGTTCAACTAACTAAACCACCCAGGCATCCCACCAGACACTATCCTAAGTGCTTTACAAATATTAGCCCACTTAATCACCTTAACAACCTTATCATACAGGTGCTATTCTCCTCATTTTAAGCTGAGGCAACTGGGCACAGAGAAGTTAATTACTTGCTCACAGTCAATATATCACAGACCTCAGACTCAAATCCAAACCTCAGGAGTGCCTGGGTGGCTCAGTTGGTTAAGTGTCCAACTCTTGGTTTTGGCTCAGGTCATGATCTCAGGGTCATGATCTTAAGGTCTTAAGATTAAGTTCTGTGTCAGGCTCAAGGCTCAGCACAGAATCTGCTTGAGATTCTCTTCTCTCTCCCTGTCTACCCTTCTTGCCCCTCCACTCCCACTCTGGAACGAGTGTGCACTCTCCTCCCATACATACGTACATACATACATACATAAATTCATTCATTCATTCTTTTAAAAAAAATCCAAACTTCAACTCGGTGCCCATAACCACTATGCTAGGTCCCATCATAATTTTCAAAGCACATGTAAAACTTCCAAGTTGTTGACATTATTCCCACTTTTTTGCATTTGGAAAATTTGAGTGCCAAAGAGTAAAGAGATTGATCTCTGGCCACACTGAAGATTAGTA